GGAGGGAGGGAGGGAGGGAGGGAGAGGGAGAGAGGGTTGTTCTTGTCGTTGGTGAGACTTGACAGAGTTGGCAGGAAGGAGGAAGGAGAAGTTCTTCTTGCCTGATTTCGGCTGCCAATCTCCTGCAGCAGCTCTTGGATGTGATCGTTTGTCATTCCCAGCTCCTGTCCAGCAGTCAAGCCAAGAGAAGGAACGAGGAGGAGGCAAGGGACAAGGGTCGGAAGGGATGGAAGAAGGGGAGGGAGAAGGAGGAGGGTAAAGCAGTTGCGGAGGAGGAAGCAGTGGTGGCAGTAGCTGAGGAGGAGGAGGAGGAGGAGGAGGAGGAGGAAGAGGAGGAGGAGGAGGAGGAGGAGGAGGAGGAGGAGGAGGAGGATACTTGCTCTGCTTCGTTGGCTTTCTCCTCATACTGAGAAGTTCAGAAACATCAGAAGAGAGAGAACAGTGGAGAGAAAGAAATCGAACTCACAGTCACACTCTGAGCAAGAGCTTCGAGCCTTCTCTGGAAGAAGATCATCGGCAAGAGACAAGAAGGAGAAAGTGAGTGAGTGAGTGAGTGAGTGAGTGAGTGAGTGAGTGAGTGATTGATTGATTGAGTGAGTGAGTGAGTGAGTGAGGAGAGGATGGAGGAGGCAGGCAAGGAGCAGGTGCTACACTAGATCAACAACAAACACGCGAAAGACGAGACAGATTCATCTCACACTTTGCTTTCTATCTCATCAATTGTCTTTCTTGTTGTCTTCACTCTCATCAATGTTCATCTCAAACCTGTTCGGAGTAGTTCAGGTCTCGCTCGAGCTTCAGATTCCTCTGCTTTAACTTGGCAAGCTTGTTTGGCATGAGAACCAACACAGAGATAGAAGAAATCGATACACCTCCTCATCCTTCTCTTTCATCTTTTGCTTTACTATATCGCTGTAAATGTTTATCAGCATTCGTCTTGTTGTTGCAACAAAATTTTGCAATAGAATTCGGACAAAACAAAGAGCTACAACTCATCAGAGAACTAGCAATCACAGCAAACGCTCCTTATCGCAAACACACGTTTGACTCTACAAGAAGTCACCTGCAAACATTGGAGATGAAATTTTCTTCAGCTTGTCCATGGAGAAAGGAGATTATACTCTGCAAAATCGACAGATTGTTTGAGAAAAAGCATCATCATTCCACCAGCGTCTCAAATTTCTTACATCAACGTGTACTCCGCCGATCATATCTGAAAATAACATGAGAGGTTTGAAGGATGCCAACTGAAGCAATTACTTGCTAGCCAAAGGAAAAAGACGCCGATCTTTTCGAGCAGGAAACTTGCAACGGAGAAATTGCGGATCTGGTAACAACCATGAGATAAGATGGTAAGACGCTGAAGACTAGAAAAGCACTGAGAGATGAACAAAAGCATAAAATCAATGCATTCTTCTTTGAACAATCAAAATTCTTTCTAAATTTTTCTTCCTTCTTCAATATTTTCTCCATTTCTCCATCCCTTGTCGTCTGTCTCCCCAACCTCCCCTCTTACACTTCTGTTCACCTTGATGCTTTTCCTCGCCTCCTTCTCAGCGACCTGAATCCCATGAAGTTCTGCTAGCTCTCTATGCATCTTGACATGCAGCTGTAAAGTGTCGCCATCACCCCCACCATCACCACAAGAAGACAACTACGTTGAAAGCTTCTGACGGGTCCGAACATTCAGACAGGAAAGGGATCGAACGAGGTAGTTTCCTTGACTGCTTCTTGTTCAGCCTCCGCCAAAACTTTACAGCACCGCTCACCGCCTCTGCAAAGAACTCCCGGTCCTTCTCGTCTGACTCGATTCCCCCGATCGCTCCCTGAGGCATTTAGTAAACAGATAGCTCCCTCATGCTCCTCCTCTGCTTCCTTCTCCTCCTGCTCCTGCTCCTGCTCCTGCTCCTGCTCCTGCTCCTGCTCCTGCTCCTGCTCCTGCTCCTGCTCTCTCTCCTGCTCTTTCTCTTCGTCCTCGTCCTCGACCATCCTTGCCCCAGTCCTCTTCGTTCTCCTTGCTCATATCCTGTTCCTCAAATTCCTCCTCCTCCCCCTCCCTTCCT